TGGATTAAAGATCTAAATAAAAAAACAAACACACTAAACTTGCTGGAAGATGTTAGGCAGAACTCTTGAAGCCATTGGCATAGGAAAAGACTTTATGAACAAATCCTCATTAGCATGGGAACTAACACAAAGAATCAACAATTGGGATCTCATCTTTTTAAAGCTTCTGCTAAAAAAATTTTGCCAGCTGTTCCTCAGACAAAGGTCTACTATCTAGAATATATGAAGAACTCAAAAAAATCAGACCCTCAAAGACCCAATTTGAATATGGCATCTGAAGTTAACACACAGTTCTTAAACAAATAAGCAGCAAGTATCAGCTGTTCCTCAGACAAAGGTCTACTATCTAGAATATATGAAGAACTCAAAAAAATCAGACCCCCAAATATAAAGACCCAATTTGAATATGGGCATCTGAAGTTAACAGACAGTTCTTAAACAAATAAAAGCAGCAAGTAAATATATGAAAAAATGTTCAATACCACTGGTCTTTCGAGAGATACAGCTGAAAACAACACTGAGATTTCACCTCACCCCAGAAAAAATGGCTGCTATCATGAAGTCAACCAATAACAAATGTTGGTGGGGCTGTGGGGAGAAAGGAACCCTTCTCCATTGTTGGTGGGAGTGCAGACTGGTGCAACCGCTATGGAAATCAATATGGAGATACCTCAGAGAACTAGCACTGGAGGTCCCATTTGACCCAGCTATTCCTCTGCTGGTTGTCTTTCCAAAAGAATCAAAAGATTCATACCACAATGATATATGAACACCCATGTTTAGAGTGGCACAGTTTGTAATACCTAAAACCTGGAAACAGCCCAATTGTCCATCAACTGAAGACTGAATAAGATGTGGTTTTTTTAATAAAATGGAGTGCTACTCAGCCATAAAGAGTGAGCAACTAGAGACATTTATAGATAAGTGGATGCACATTGAGGCCATACTCTTAAGTGAAATTCATAGGACACACATATAAATACCAAATAGTTTCTCTGGTGTAAGAAACTAAAAGTGTAAATAAGGATCAAAATGTGTAATTGATATTGTGTAATAGGAAGAAAAGGTCTAAAGGAGTAGAGGAAGTGGGAGGAGAAGGGGAAAGGGCACAAAGGCAGCAGGACACATTACCAAAGGTCTGACATCACAATGGCTGCCTGCCTTCTGCTGGCTATAGCGCTTGCTCTGATGGGAAACAGCTAAGCAGTAAGTGACTGTTGGCTTTAGATTATATAGTTTATATAGCATGTTAAATAAATCCTAGTCTTGAGGTGTGACTATGAAGATCAGGTATGTTCAATTCATGTTTTAATATCTACATAGATACACATGGCCTGTTTTATGTTGAACTTTTTATCTAATGCGTATCTACATATTTAACATGGTATATAGTTTATCTCTTTCTCAAAGACAATTTAGTGGTAACTTGTGGAACTCCTGGAGGAAAACTGTTTCCAACATTCTAACCCAGGGAACTGCTCCTTGTTTAGTGGGCATTTACTGAGCGTCGATTCTGTACCAGATGGTAGGAACTAAGGGAAAGGAGGGACAACATTTGAGTCTGAGCTTGGTGATGGGACATCAGGAGAGGCTGTCTGAAGGTGACTCCTCTGAATCTTGAAGGATTAGTGGATGGAGTGAAGTCAACCAGGCCATCCAGGAGGAAAGAGCAAAATGGACTGGAAGTGAAGAACACAGTAGCTCTGAGAAATTCTTCAAAGAGACATAATATGCTATACAGAAATCAAAGTTTCAAAACTTAATTAAACTCAGCTCAATTTAAGCAACATTGTTTTTACAGATGCATGTATCTATGCATTAGTTGTTGGGTTACAGAAATTACAGGAAGACATATCTACACATAGGTTTAATCCAGTGTAACAAGGAGTAACAGGAGGGTGCAGGTAGGTAGCATCAGGGAGGTAGAGAATTCTGTCTGGAGAGTCTAGGGAGCTTTCAGACAAAGGGGAGAACAGGAATTGATAAGTTCAATGTCACAGAGATCAATTAGGCAAGAACAAGCATCCTGGGCTGGACTGGCCAAGATGGAGATGGAGCGGGGACCACGGTTCTAAGATGTCAGAAGCCTTAACTGATAGGGCGTGATGGTTGATAAATGCCTGATGATGACAGGATGAGCCACAGGTTTATGGAACGTGTCACTGGGGGTATAGAGACACCACTAGCTGCCCAAGCATAGCCACTGTCTGTTCATGTGTGTGTGCCTACACACACACACACACACACACACACACACACACTCCAGTTGTGTGTCCTTTCTTCTCTCCCACTCCCTGTTACCTAGCCAGAAGTGAAAAACAGAGGGGAAGCCAGGACAATGTCCTAATGGTCTCACGGACTCCAGGCTGGTGCCTGATGAATCCACTGAGCAGGACCAGACCGACAGCTTCTTCTAGGAAGCACATGATGGAAACTAGTGCCCACGTATGCCACCCCTTGTCTGCCTGCATTCTCACCACTGTCCCACACCCAGGCTTTTTTCTCATCCCTTCACCTAGCTTAGTAATTACATGAATTTTTGTGGTTCTGATATCCAAAAGCTCATACATCTGTATGACAATGCCTGAAGATCTCTCTGTCCTCCTCTCTCTCCCTTTCTCTTTTCCTTGCTCTCTCCCTACTTCCCTCCCTCCCGCTCTTCCTTTCTTCAATTACCACTTATTTGATTGTGAACACATTTTTGTAATGATACACAAACAACCACCGCACAAGAGAAGAGAAAAAGAAAAAAGAATGCTACCAGCCCTCTGAAGCTCCTTGCAAGTGCACTCCTAATTACCATCCACTGAACCCCCAGCTTTGCCATAAGTTCTTGCAACTGCATCCTTCACCTGGTATGTTCACCTCCCTAAACAACAGAATTTAGTTTTGCTTGTTTTGGAACTTTATTCTTTGAAATTCCCTGATTCTGATTCTGTCTTTCAACATTGTGTATATGATTCATCTGTGTTGCTATTCAAAGTCTTATGGACAAAACTTCTCGAAGATGCTTATATGGGCATACTGGTCACAATTCATGAATTTCCTCAAGGTCCATATCTGGGAGTGGCTGATGCATAGGCATCTTCAATATTTTTCAACATTATTTGATATCATGTGAGGGTTTCTCTTCTTCCACATCTTCATCAACATTTATTGCTTTAAATTTTTTCCTTTAAACCTCTTTTGCCAAAACAGACTCTTGTACTGAAGCAGACTCCCCTAGCTCAGTGGTTCTTACTTTCAGATTCCCCTAGCTGCTTGTAACAGAGGACATTCACTTGTGAGTGCATTGTTATAAGCAGGCCCATAAGGAAGACACAAAAAGTTCTCAAGTGACAAGGCCAAAACCTTAAATTAATTCTGAATGACCAGCAAGAGTAAACCCTATTAGGTTGGAATGCTTCCCTACTTAAAAATGAAATGTATCCCCTTCATATGCTCTGATTCCTTGGTTTAAAACCATTGTCCTTGTTGGCTGAGGTTCTGCTTTGAGCACCCTTGAGCTCGAATGTATTGACCAGCCCAAACCCATGACCACTCGCATGTTTCTCAAAGCTTGGCCATCACAAACAACCATCAACAGGAGAACAAAAGTATGGTACCAAGCACTAACCTTTGGCCTGTAATAGTCATGGATGTGTTCTTTCTGGTGTCCCCACAGGGTTTAACCATATGACCAGGACTTGGTCAGGAGCCCTATCCTCCTCCACACCCATGTTTTCACGCTGGCTGATTAGGAAGATGTTTCCCTTCAAAGTGAGCAAATGGATGGGACTTGATTGCCTCCATTCAATGGTGGCCTCACCCAGTATTCGCCAGAAGAAACTAATCCACAAGCTGCAAGAGGAAAAGACTTTTAGGAAAGAGATGAAGATTTTCCATGAGAAAATAGAAAACAGGGAAGACATATGCAATTTCAGACGCAAGATCCATGTTTTCCGGGGCAAGATGCTGAATTTTTGGGAAAAGGAGAGACCTTTCTGGGAAGAGGAGAAAATTTTCTGGAAAGAGGAAAAAACTTTCTGGGAAATGGAAAAATCTTTCCGGGAAGAAGAAGAAATATTTTGGAAAAAATACCTTGCCTTCTGGAAGCACGATAAGGCCTTCTGGAAAGAGGATAATGCTTTATGGGAAAGAGACCAAAAACTTCTTCAGGAGGACACAGCCCTGTGGGAGGAAGAAAAGGCCTTGTGGGTGGAGGAAAGAGAGCTCCTTAAGGAAGAGAAGGCCCTATGGGAGGATGAAGAGTCCCTCTGGGAGGAAGAGGAAGCCCTCTGGGAGGAAGAGAAAGCCCTCTGGGAGGAAGAGAAAGCATTCTGGGTGGGAGGTGACCATGTTGCTGTGGAGTTTATGCCTAAAGACAGGCCAAGAACACTAGCATTTTCCCAGCATAGTGAACCTGGGCCACGCAGAGCCATGGCATCCAGACTCTCCTGGATTGGAACCCATGTCCGTGGTGATCCCCTGTGCTAGAGAAAACATTCACTTATTTGTCTCCTTGTTTTGAAAGACCTAATAAAGTCCTGATGAGGGAACTGAAAAACTAGCTTTTTGGGGAAGCCTGGCTGCATTTTTTTTTAGATTCTGTGATTCTCCAAGGTCATGTGCTCATCCACCAGGCTTGATTCCCAGCCACAGACCTTGGTCCTAAACAGTTTGCAATGTCCCTGGGTAGGGATGGAATCACTCTTCTTAAAAGAAGAAGACAAATGGGGAAATAGACTCAGATAGTGCCAACTGGAGACAGTAGGGCCAGAGAGGAGTTGAGACACTCTTGCCTCTGTCATGCTGTAGGGCAATTACTTCTTTGTTTTGCACACTTGCAGGCTTGGCAGGGCTGACAGCTCTCCAGTAAAGACTGCAATGCTGTTAATTATTCATATGTGCTTCTTCCTCATCGGGCAGACAGTTGGGAACATTCAGGTCAAATCCCTTAGATATATACACTCACTGGCAGGTCTGAGCTCCCACCAAACTTTTCAACTGCCCATCCTCTGTCAGCATGAGAGAGAGAGCCCTTGACATTGGCCTGAGGCCCAATTGAGGGCACTGATCTTTGATGATGCAGTCAAAATGGACCCACGAGATGATCTGAGAGGTACCAGTGGTCCTGTCTGCTACCATCTGCCCCCATATATAGTCCGACTCACAGTGGTCTCACTATGCCTGCATTTCTTTATTGTAAATTTATTTCCATGTGTTTTTTTTTTCCTCCTTGGTCTCTGTTTTCATTTATTTAAAATTAAAATGCTCCAGGGAGGGCTTGGGATTTAGTTCAGTGGTTCTGCCACCTGCCTCACAAGCACAAGGACCAGTTCGATCCCCAGTACCAAAACAAACAAAAATTTAAAGTGTTTCAACTACATTTAGCCAGGCGTGGTGGTGCACACCTTTAACCCCAGAATTTGGGAGGCTGAGGCAGGAGGATCGCTGTGAGTTTGAGACCAGCCTGGGCTACATATAGTGAGTTCCAGATCAGTCTCAACTACATAGTGAGACCCTGTCTCAAAAAAATAAATAAATGAATAAAATGCTCCAGGGAGGTAATTCATTAAATAAACGCACACCACTGTGGTCAAATAATTTATGTGCCTACCTAGTCTTATGAAGAGAGATTAATTTATAGAAGGGATTGATACGGAAATGATCAGAAGTGGAGGTACAATAAATGCCAAGGCAAACATCTGCTTTGCCTTCTCTTAGGCCTGGCCTTCATGGATATTAAAGCACCTTTGTGGCTTCCCTATTATTGGCCAAGCACTTTTACACTCTCCAAGTCATGGGACCTTCTTATGATGCTTTGGGCTCATGGGCAAAGCTCATATACCCATTGTATGGATGAGGAAACAGAGACATAGAGAAGCAAAATGATTTCGTGTGCCCAGGCAAGTAGCAAATGAAAGCGCCAGGAGTAAAGCCTGTGCTGTCTTCCTTTGGGTCCCATTTCTTCTCTAATAGAGAGATGGCAGATGACCTTAAAATAACTCTGCTTGTAATGGCCACAGCACTGCATGAGCCTTCCCTTTTGCAAAAAAGATCTATCTCCTAGTTTCCTATTATCTACCTTTATTTTGCCATTGTATGTATACTTTGTGTTTCTCATATATATTTCTCATGTGATATTTAAGCTTGGGTGTCTGATTTATTTCACTTAAAATCATGGTCTCAAGGTATATCCATTTTTCTACAAATGACTTCAATTTATCCAAATGACTCAAACTTTCCAACAGCATAGTACTCCACTGTATGTACATACCACATTTTCTTTATCCGTTCATCTGTTGATGGACATACAGGGTGCTTCCAAGACTTAGTTGTTATGAATTTTGCTGCTATAAAAATGGGTACGACTGTGTCACTATAATACGTCTTTAACTCTTTCAGAAAGATAACTAGAAGGAGAATAGCTGGGTCAAATGGAATTTCTATTTTTAGTTTTGTTTTTTTGTTAAAGCTTGAGACAGGGTCTCCATATATATATATATATCATGCAGGTTTGTCTTGAACTTACTGTGTAACCCAGGCTGACCTCGAACTCATGGCGATCCTTCTGCCTCAATCTTTTGAGTGAATTTTTAGATTATTACAGAATCTCCACACTGATTTCCATAGTGGTTGTGCTAGTTTATATTCTTACAAACAATGCAGAATTGTTCCTTCTTCTCCTAGCCTTGCCAGCTTCTATTATTTGATTTCTTGATGACAGTCATTCTTTCTAGAATATGATGGAATCTTAGTGTTGTTTTAATTTGTATTTCTATAGTGGCTGGAGGTGTTGAACACTTTTTCATGTACTTATCAGCCATTTCTACTTCTTCTGAGACAGTTTTCCCAGCACCATTTTTTAAAGAGGTTATTTTTCCTCCAGTATGTGTTTTTGATTTTTCCAGTACCATGAGTCAAACTCAGAACCTTGTGCTTCACTGGCAGGCACAGCCCAGCTGCGTTTTTGGCTCCCTTGTCAAAGATCAGGTGGCTGGAAATGCCTAGGGTTGTTTCTGCATCTTCTATTCTGTCCCACTGATCCACTTGTCTGTTTTTGTGCCGGTACCATCATGTTTTCATCACTGCAGTTTTGCACTATAATTTGAAATCTGGGATTGTGATGCCTCCTGCTTTGCTGTTGCTGCCCATGGTAGCTTTTGCTATTCTGGGTCTCTTGTAGTTCCAGCTTATATTTAAGGTTGTTTTCTCTAGTTCTGTGAGCAGTACTGTGGATATTTTGATTGGGATTGAATTAAAGCTATACATCACAGGCTATTTTGATGATACTCATTCTGCCTATCAAGGGAAAGAGGATATCTTTCCATTTTCTGATTGTTCTCTTTGATCTCCTTTTCAGGGTACTATAATTTTTGTTATAGAGGTCTTTCACTTCCTTTCTTAGGTTAATTTCTAGTTACAGTGGTACCTTGGTTCATGAATGCTTTTGTTTGCAAACAATTTGGTTCACAAAGACAAGCAATGGGAAAAACTTTGTTTGCAAATTCTACATCAAGAGACAAACATAGCCACAGCCATCTTTCCTGCATGAACATAAACATGGCCATCTTTTCCAGAATCATGGAATGAACTAATTTTGTGAGCCAAGGTACCACTGTATTTAATATTCTGGATGCTATCATAAATGCTATTATTTTCCTAATTTCTTTATCAGTGCATTCGTTATTGGTATACTGGAATGCTATAGATTTTTGTGTGATTTTGTATTCTGCTACATTGTTGAATTTATTAGTTCTAGGACTCTTGTGGTGGAATTTTTTGTCTTCTATGCAAAGGTTCTTGTCATCTGTGAATAAGGTTAGATGACTTCTTCCTTTCCTATATAAATCTCTTTTATTTCTTTCTCGTGCCTGATTACTCTGGCTAAAGTTTAATGTACTATGTTGAACAGGAATGGTGATAGGAGACATCCTTGTCTTGCTCCTGATTCTACAGGGAAAGCTTTCAGTTATTCTGCATTAAATATTGATGTTGGGGGGCTGGGGATTTAGCTCAGTTGTTGTACCACCTGCCTTGCAAGCACAAGTGCAAGGTCCTAAGCTCGATCTCTAGTACCAAAAAAAAAAAAAAAAAAAAAAAAAAAGTGTTGGCAGTAGGTTTGTCATAAGTGACCTTTTTTGGGGGGGTACCAGGAATCAAACCCAGGACCTTGCACTTGTCAGTCAGGTGCAGCACCACTAAGCTACATCTCAGCCCCTATAAATGGCTTTTATCAGGTTGAGATAAGATCCTTTTATACACATTTTCTTCAGTTTTTTTATATCATGAATTGATGTTGAATTTTGTCAAAAGTTTTTCTACATTTATGGAGATGATCGTATGACTTTTGTCCTTGCTCTATTTATATGATGTATTACATTTATTTATTTGCATATATTAAACCACCCTTGCACCCCTGAGATGAAGCCTACTTGGTCATGATGTATGATCTTTTCAATAATTTATTGCATTCGCTTCAGTATCTTGTTGAGGACCTTTGCACTTATTTATATTCTTTAAAGAGACTGACCTTTAGTTTTATTTTTTAATTGAGCCCTGTTTTTGGAGTCATGGTAATTCCAGTTCTAAGAATGAGTTTAGCAGTACTGTTTTTCAATTTCATTAAAGAGTTTGAAAAGTATTGATCTTTCCTGAAGTTCTTGTGGAATTCAGTGGGGAATCCATTAGGTATTGGGCTTTTCTTAGTAGGGCTTTTGTTGTTGTTGTTTTTAGATTGCTGCTTCAATTTAACTGTGTGCTATTAGATTATTTGGGATTTTTATATCTTCTTGGTTCAGATTTGGTAATTCATATATATATCTAGAAATCATCTTTTTCTTCTGTCTTCTATATAGGAGTATGGGTTTTCAAAGAAGTTACTATAAGCTTCTGAATTTTGGTGGTGCTCATTGCAATTTTGCCTTTTTCATTTTAAATTTCATTGATATGGGTCTTTTCTTTCCTGTTTTGGTAACACTGGGTTACCAAAGGGTTTGTCTATTTTGTTTAGTCTTTCAAAGAACCAGCTCTTATATTCATTGATGTATGATATGCTGATCATAGGTACAAAGTTGTACAACATATCTCTAGAGATTTTTCATCTTGCCTACCTGAGACTTTATGCATGGTGATTAGTTAACTCTTCTCTGTACTTCCTCCTGCAGCCATGGCAACCACCAGACCATTCTTTGATCTTATGAATTTGACTATTTTAGATGCATGACTATTTTAGATAAATTTTTTATTTTGAGACAGGATCTCACTAAGCTGCCAAGGCTGACCTCAAACGTGTAGTCCCCCTGCCTCAGCCTCCCAAGGACCTAGGATTGCAAGTGTGTGCCACCATGCTCACTTACCCTATATTTTTAATGGCTATTACAGATATCTTTACACAGATATATTATAGTTTCCTGCTGCCATTTATTTAGGATTTTTATCCTAAATATGTTGCTTTTATCCTAAGTATGTTGCTTTTAAGACAATCTCTTAGGCACACTATAAATGTAAGCTGTTAACTTGCTCTGTTACC